TTGTGACCTTGGAAATGGCAATTTAAATCTCTGGGGCTGTTTCCTCTTGCGCAATGAGGATAAGGAATAACTACCATCACACACCCGCCACCCCCTTAACTACTTCCCTCACACAGCTGCCGAGAGGCTCCAAGGAGAAGGTATCTGGGAGACACCATTGGCTCCCTACTGCCTCTAGAAGCAAATAAATTAGATTTAACATTTAAAGCCCTTCACAACTTGGCTGCAACCTACCTTCCCAGACTTATTCTAGATTACTCCCCTTCTCAGACTTTCCAGTTCAAACTAAACTTATTCCTGCTCTTCGAATTTGTGGTGCCACCCCCTGTCTTTGTGCCTTTACCCCCCAATATCTAGAATGCACTGCCTCCTGGCCCTGGCCCCCTTAGAATTCCCAGCTTTTTTTTTTAAACGATTCAAATATCACCTCCTCCATGTGGCCCATTGTGATCACTCCAACTGCTAGTACCGCTTTGAAAACATTGAATTTACTTTGTATACTTTTTGCATATTCTCATATGTGTACATATTCTCGGTGATAGAATGAAAGCTTCCTGAGGTCAGGAACTGTTTGATTTGAGGCACATTTTATTTTGCATATTCTTTTATGTGTACATGTTCTCCCTGATAGAAAGAAAGCTTCCTGAGGGCAGGAACTATTTCATTTTTGTATTTACAGTTCCTGGTAAGAATCACAGGATTTGAGGGCAGCTAGGTGGCTCAATGGATAGAGCACCAGCCCTCAAGTCAGGAGGACCTGAGTTCAAATCCAGCATCAGACACATAACACTTAACAGCTGTGTGACTCTGGGCAAGTCACCTAACCCCAATTGCCTTGCTGCCCCCCCCCAAAAAAAAAGAATCACAGGATTTGAGAGTTAGAAGGGACCTCAGCAGACATCTAGTACAATTCATATACTAAAAGAATCCCTACTATAACATAGCCCAAACGTGGCCTTCTAGCTTTTGCTCAAAAAAACCAAGGAAGGAGAATCCACCGGCCCTCGAGGTCGCCTATCCCACTATGGACTACTTTAAATGTTAGGAAGCTTTGCCTCACCTTGAGCCCAAGTTGGCCTCTTTGCCAGCTTCTAACCATCATTCCTGGATCTATGGTCTGGAGCCAAAAGGAATAACCTAATCCCTCCCTCCCAGGATAACCCTCTTCAATGACACAGCTGTATCTCCTCTTTGAGTCTTAGCTTCTCCAATACCTAAACCAATCCTCCCGTACAAGCTCAAGGCCCTTCCCCATTCTGGTTGCCCTCCTCTGGATACTCTCCAGTTTATCCACATCCATTTTAGACCACAGTGCCCAGAACTGAACACAATACTCAAGATAAGGCCTGATAAATATAAAGTACTGTGGGAGCATCACTTCCCTATTCCTAGAAGCTATGGCTCCTCCTAAGGCAGCCCTCAACAGCGTTAGCTTTGTTTGGCTGTCCCATCATGCTGCTGACTCTTACGGAGCTTGCAGATCATTAAAACCCCCAGACTCTTTTCAAAATAACTTGCCTTGCCTTCCCCAACTACCAGTGGGGACACCCTTCCCCCTTGCCCTTCCTTTGTCCTTCTCCTAGCAACTCTTAGGACATCTAACATCTTAAGATGTCCAGACCCCATCAGGGTGGTTGGTAAGAACAGCGACATGGCTATTTAGACCACTTTCAGTAAGCAGGGTGTCACCAATTACTAGCCTTTCAGGGAGATGGATGACCAGCTGACCTTACAGGTCATTTGCCCTGACACTGCATCCTAAAGTCCTCCAGTCTTCACCATCTGCCCTGTTGTTGTATCTTCAAATCACTGGACCCTCATCTGTCCTGTAAGGACCCTGGGCCTTCCCATCAGCCCAGACTCTTAGGATTCAGGGGCCTTTCCATCCAATCTGCGACTGATCTCTTTTATATGCAATGTCTCCTTTGCTTAAAGTTGGGTTCTTTAAGAACAGAGCCTGTCTCTTTTGTTTCTTTTGGTATCTCTAGCACCTAGCACAGGGCTCAACCCACAGTAAGCACTCAGTGAATGCTTCCTCATTCATTCCTCTTGTACAATGGGTTGGATTAGATGACCTTGGAGATCCCTGCTGGTTCTGAAATTCTGAGATTCTGTGGGAGGACAAGAGAAGACTCTGGTGCACCCACAATTACCAAATGTGTCCTTAAAAAACACCTTTGGGGGCAGCTAGGGCCAAAGAACATGAAGTTATGTTGGCTAGGCCAAGAACCAAATGAACACCTAAAAGCCTACTGAGAATCCACTCCACCAAATGGAGGCTAAATTAGCCCATGAAGAAGAAGAGAGGACTGAGGTGGCTGGTAAAGGACACTAAGGCAGTTGGCCAGGGCTAGAGAAACTTCAGGGTGGTAATGACTGTATCTGTCACTTTAAATATTGTTAGTCTATGGGAAAGTTTCTAGGTTCAAGCTGAGCTCCTGATCACTATCATTTAATAGGGAAGGAATGTCTCAAGCTACATATCCAAGGCTCAGGTCCCTCCCACCAAATGCCAGTTCTGCACTGGAACACAGACAACAAAGAGCAAATAAACCCATTTACCCAAGCTGAGAGCAAACAAAAAATCAGAGAAGGTAAGAGAGAGTCCCAAATCTCACCCACAGGAAATTCTCTAAAAAATCTCTATTGTAGTAAGCTATGGATAGGGACATTATTTTCACCCCTTCCTCTCTCTTGCTCTCTCCTCTTCTCTCTCCTCTCCCTCCCTTTCCTCGTTTCTCCTCCTTCTTTCCCTTCCCTCCCTCTCTCTCTCCTCCTCTCTCTTTCCCTCCCTTGCTCTCTTCTCCTCTCTCTCTCTCTCTGTCTCTCTCTCTGTCTCTCTCTCTCCCCTCTCCCTCTCTTCCCCCTCTCCCTTTCTCTCTCCCTCCCTTTCCCCCTTTCCCCTCCTTCTTTCCCTTCTTCCCTCTCTCCCACCTTCTCTCTCTCTTTTCCTCCTTTGCTCTCTTTTCCTCTCTCTTCTCTTCCTCTCTTCCTCCCCCATCCCCCTCTCTTCTTTCTCTTTCTTCCCCTCTCTCCCTTTCTCTCTTTCTCTCACCCTCTGAGTAGGTTACAAAAGTAAATGAGATAATTGGGAGGGGGTTGTCACTAATTGCTGGGAGAGGGGGACTCAGGAAAAGCTTCATATAGGAATTGACCCTTGAGCTAAGCTTTAAAGAAAGCTCAGGATCCTAACAAGCATAGGTGAGGAGGGATGGGCATTGGAGGCATGTGGGACAGCCTGTGCAAAAAATAGAGACAGGAGATGGAAAGTTGTTCTCAAGGAACAAAGAGGCCAGTTTGGCTGAATATAGAACGTGTGAAAGTGAATAAGGAGGAGTCTGGACAGAATCCATGAGAGAGTGAGGTGAAATATGTCTGAGGCCCTTCCTACAAATAGTGGTGCCAGGGAGGGAATCACCAGGGAGAGGAGGAAGGAGGGCCCCAGGACCAAGATTTCTCAGAGTGGTGATGTAGCAAGTGAGGGGGAGGAGGCATTACCTGGAGAGAGCCCAGGAGAGGCCAATAAGCCTCTCTAAACATAGGGAGCTTGGGCAGCAGACTATGTGTTTGTACCAGACCCCATACCATAAATCATCCTGGCTTAGTAAGACCTGTCTGAGCTTGTGCTCCATTGGAGTACCTTCTATAATAGTCAGGAACCCAGCGTGGCCTCCCTGGGCTCTTCCATAACTGCTGGAATCCAGGGCCATCTCCAGACCACTATGAAGCATCGGAGGAGGACTTTATTGGAAGTGTCTGAACCCATAGCTTATTTTTTCCCCTTTCTTAGAATACTGACAGTGTACAAATGGATTTCTAATTGTGTGGTTCATTATTGAAAAAAACTTGGAAATGCTTGCAATGATTAGTGTCTAAATAGTAAACATAAGGGATAGAGAGCTTTCCTTAGGAATTTACCATTTACCAGCTCTGAGACCCTGGGCAGGTCATTTAACTTCCATTTGCCTCAGTTTCCTGAACTGTAAAATGGGTATAATAATAGTACCTACTGGGGCAGCTAGGTTGCACAGTGGTTAGCGCACCAGCCCTGAAGTCAGGAGGACCTGAGTTCAAATCTGGCCTCAGACCAAACACTTGATACTTACTAGCTGTGTGACCCTGGGCAAGTCACTTAACCCCAATTGCCCCCCGCCCCCCAAAAAATAGTACCTACCTCCCAGGGTTGTTGTGAGGGACAAATGAGATAATAATTGTAAAGTGCTTAGCACAGTGCCTGGCACATAGTAAGTGCTATATACATGTTAGCAATTATTATTATTAATTATCTCATCATGTAACCTGCTGAAATTGTAAGTTGCAGAACAATTCCTGACTTGCTGCTGCAGAAGGAGTTTTCCTGGCTGGAGCTCCCCACAGCTATGAAATCACAGGTCTGAACTCCTAAAACCTCTAAAAGTTCACATTTCTTGAGGCTCTTATAACTTCTTTGAGGTCGATAGCCACAGGTGGGACCCACTCTGCAGCTGAGGCTAAGACTGGTCCAGGTCACTGAGCTAGGCAGAGGCAGGATTTGAATCCAGGTCTCGGGACTCCAGAGAGCTGGGGGTGCTTCCACTACACCAATGCTGCCTTGCCTGTCCTCTTGTGGTTAGGTTCTGGGACTGTGCTGATTCCTTGATTGTCCTCTGTTAAGCACCCTTAAGGGGCCCCTGCAATCTTCCTGCTCCACCTCGGTCCCTGTTTCTGTCACTCACTGTTCAATAGGTTGGGACAGATTCTGTAATATCACGGTGACCAGCGAGGCCCAATAAGCTCCCCTTCCACCACCCCCCTCTTTGGCTGCTGCTGCTCTCTGGGTGGCCGATGAGTTCCTCCGTCTGCCTCCTCCCCTCTCTGTTATCTGTAGGTAGGTGAGGTCTCTTTCTCCCAACTCCCATAAAAAGGCAGGCAGCTGCTGGGTGAGGAGCTCCCAGCTCTGGGTACCTGGGTAAGCTGCTTCCATGGAAACCAGCGGCAGGTTTTACAGGTGGAAAGCAGCCTCCTGAAGACTAAGTGGGGAAGCTTGCTGGGAACCGGGGCTGGCAGGGAAAGGCAAGAAGGAAAATACTGTCTTCGAGGGGCAATCCACACAGTCCAGTTGGACTCGGGACATTCAGGTGGGTTCATGTGGGGCAGGCTGGTGGCCTGGGGAGTAGCAGGGAGGGGGGTGTATGGAGAGGGATTGAGGTTTGTGGGGAACAAAGGAGGAGGAGAGAAAGACGAGGAAGGAGCCAAGACACGCTGAATGGTAGGAAGCTGGTGGGCTCTGAGGCTGTAGAAGGCGCTGCTTGGGGAGATAAAGGAAATCTTGGAGAATTCCCCTGGAACCTCTGGGTTCTCATAGAAGCTTCCAGAACCAAGAAAGAACTTTCCCAGATACTGATACCATCCATTTGTGCCTTTTCTGCTAGCATCTTTCCGATGCCTTCCTCACTGCCTGGTACCAAAGGGTGGGTACTCCACTCGTGCAGTCTGTCTGTCCTGAGCCCACTTGAACCCAGTAGGGGCATTTGTCCCCAAAAGTAAGAGAGGTCTGGGAATGAACAGAAAGCCTCCATGCCCCTGCCTTCTTACTCTAGTGAGCAGCTCTGTATAAGCACAGAACTCTTGGCCCTGCAGGTACCCCTGTGTCCTTGTTCTGGACATTGGACAGCTGACGCCACTATGTGGGCGCAGAGGGCTGAAGCGGTTTGTCCAAAACAGCTCTTTAAAGCAGAGTATCCAGGTGCTTGGTTTGCAGGTCTGGTGACACGCTCTCCATTCCTAGGCCCCTCCCCCGGGGAGGGAGGGAGGGAACCTTTTGCTTTCTGGGGGCTGTGTTCCCCGACCTCCAAGTCTTTGTGGGAGACCGAAAGACTGAGGGTGGTGGATGTTCTTTCAGGAGAAGCACAGGCTTAGATCTTCTGGATGGAGCAGCCAGGTCTGAGCGATGGCCGAGAAATTGGGAAATAAGCCTGAGGCCGAGTGTCCCGTCTGCTGGAACTCATTCAACAATACCTTCCGGACCCCCAAGGTTTTAGACTGCCGCCACTCCTTCTGCATTGAATGCCTGGCCCACCTGAGCTTGGTCTCTTCCTCCCGGCACCGGCTGCTGTGCCCCCTCTGCCGCCACCCTACAGTCCTGGCTTCAGACCGGCCGGTGACTGACCTGCCCACAGACGCTGCTGTCCTTACACTGCTCCGCCTGGAGCCCAAGCACATCATCCTCGAGGGCCGGCATCTCTGCTTCAAGGATGAGCGCAAGACCAGATACTTCTTGCGCCAGCCCAGGGTCTACACTCTCAACCTGGGGGCTGAGCCAGAGAGCCAGGCGGGCCCAGCCCATCAGGGTTCAGCGCCCCCTGCCCCTGTGCCGGTACCCAGCCACTTGTCCCTGCGAGAGTGCTTCCGGAACCCTCAGTTCCGCATCTTTACCTACCTGATGGCTGTCATCTTCAGTGTTGCCTTGCTGTTAATCTTCTCCATCTTCTGGACTAAACAGTTCGTCTGGGGTGCAGGGTGAGACATGGGCCCCCGGGGCCAAGGCAAGGACCACAAGCCAGTCAATACAGGGAGTTCTGGGAGGGCCAGGCTAACACGGACTCATTGCTACTGGAGAGACCCCCTCTCCCACTTTCCAGATGGATGGGAGAGCAGCTGAGCCCAGACCTAGTGCCATTCTTCTGCAGCATGTGGTCCTATCACAATCTAGGAGTTGGTAGTCTATTTACTACTAATGAGAACGTCTGAGAACTGAGGGGGCTAAGAAGGGACCAAGGTGCCATTTTTCCAAGGATGCTGAAATGGGATTCCAGTTCTTTGTTGCTGAGGGGTGCAAGGAAGGTATACCTCCAAAAGCTACCTCAGAGGGCAAATCAATAATTGTCCCCCTGACTATGATGGAGAAGCAGGTTAGTGACAACAGATGGAAACATTTGGGAGCCTGTATGTGCTACAACTTGGCTTCAGACCCCAAAGTAGGTCACCTTTCCCCTGAGCCCCTCCCAGCTTCAGTCTTGGTTGTCCCAAGTTGTTTTCTCTTTGATAGACCTCTAGAAATTTGTGTGTATGTCAATCAATAAACAGTTATTAAGCACCTACTAAGTGCCAGGCATTGTGCTAAGTGCTAGAGATTCAAAAAGAGGCAAAAGACAGTCCCTGCCCTCAAGGAGCTTACGATCTAATGGGGAAGACAACAAATAGTACAAATAAACTATGTACAAGATAAATAGGAAATAATTAACAGAGGGAAGGCACCAGAATTAAGAGAAGCCTTTCGGCTTCTTATACCAGATGGGATTTTTGTTGGAACTTGAAGGAAGCCAGGGAAGCCAATAGGTAGAGAGATGAGGATGTATGGGGGAGGACTTATCTAATTCTCTTCCTCTTCTCATTCATTCCCTTGAGCAAACCTTGTAATGATGACTTCCTCACTTTTCCCCCTTCCCCTTTTCCCATCCAAGTGGTTTGCAGGCAACAGAACTAGCTAATCACTTGGAACCATCTCCCCAGTTGTTTAATATAGGAGAGAAATCTGCTACCAAAATTTAACATGTTGTATGATGCATAAGATGCCTTACACACCCCAAATAGGAGTCCAAGATTCTAAAGCATTTTGTAAAGGAGAGGTCAAGGGGCAGCTTGGATAGAGTACCAGCTCTGGATTCAGGAGGACCCGAGTTCAAATCCGGCCTCAGATACATAACACTTACTAGCTGTGTGATCCTGGGCAAGTCACTTAACCCCATTGCCTAGCCAAATAAATAAATAAATGAGAGGTCAAGGTTAGGGCTGGTGGGAGAAGTCATTCAACTTTTCCTTCTTGTCAAGATGACAGGGGACTTAACTGAAAGGTGTGGAAGGAACAGGATCCCGTGACTAGGTGATCTTCTAGAGCTTAAAGGTCTAAGCAGTTTTCGGATAAACTCCTGGATAGTCATAGAGGTCCCATGAAGAAGGGCAACCTAAATTCTGGGTCTCCTACTTTAGGACTCCAATTCTGAACCAAAGAGAACGTGTTAGGAGTTGTAAGAATTCCAGGCTGTCATTCCCAGCCAGGTACTAATTCACAGGCTGCCTGTTCCCACTTGGACTGCTCAGGGTGGTAAGAACACTGGGCCCAAGCCGGTTTGACCTGAACAGAACCATATACCAGTCGGGAAGTTTGATCTTTTCTCATAGTATTGTCTGTGCTTCATAGAAAAGCTGACTTCATCCTCTTGCCTTTAGTTCATGACCTGGCCCTGACATTCCAAAATCTTGCTCCCCTCCTGTATACTGACAGCCCACCACCACACTTCTAGGTTATTTAAGCAACAGATCTAGGCTTTAAGAGCTTAACTGGACTGAATGGAAGAGCTAGAAGTAAAGCCTGAGGTCACACAGGTATCCTGAGCACAGTCAGGATTCAAAGTCAGGTGCTCTGACTCTAAACCCGTCTTTCTCTCCGCTGTAACATTGCCTTGACTCACACCTGTGACCTCAACAGGAAAAGCAGGCACACTGGGCTTTCAGGGCAAATTTCAGGCTTCCTCTTGGCTGAATGGAGAAAATTTTTTTTTCCTTCATTAAGTTGGGCAACTTCTTGTTTATCTTGTCAAGGTAGCCTATGTCACTCCAAGCCTGTGCCACTGGAGACAATCTACAATCAACAAGCTCCCAGTTGACTTCATTTCTTTACACATCTTTCCCCATTTAGTCTGTAGCCAAAGTACACTCAGTGGTGAGCTCACCACGCTCCAGCAGCTCAGGGGTATGGTTTAACGCACCAAGAGGCCTGGAGACAAGCAAAGTACCCCCAGAGGATCCCTGAAAGGAAATCTTTCCTCTGCATCACAACCTCTCACTATTTACATCAACCGGAGCTCTTTTTCAGTCAAAACAGAACCTAAACCCTTGAGGTGGCTGAAACACCATTACAACAGTGGAAAAGTATAGGTTTATTTGTTTAATGGAAGGAAATACAATCTTGAATTTACCTCTTTATATCTAGGTCTTGATCCTCCAGGACATTAATTTTCCTGTTCTCTCTCATCTCAGCAACAACCCTGTGAGGTAGGCAGGCAGGCCTTCTTTGATCATTGTTTGGCCAAGGGACAGCCATGGTCAAAAAAGTTACTTTGCTCAGCTAGTTAGTGGCAGAGCACCTAGGTGGAATCTCCTATGCTTTTTCTATTACAGTACAAAATGTCAACAACCATGTGTCTTACCATGCTGTTGTCTCTCCAAAAAAACCTTGTCTGCCATGGAATACAGTAGAATTAGCCAGGTTGTCTTGCTAGAGGAAAGGTCGAAAAAGCAAAATTTTTCATTTGAACTGCCTGAGGGTTGGCATATGTAAATTATTTGAAAATGGCAAAGCCAGAAAGTCCATTAAGGAGCCTCCTGGCAGCAGCAAAGTGAAACACTTTTTTCCAGAACTTCAAGGAACAGGTAAATTGTTTTGAGGTTGATAGACAAAGTCTTTTAAGTGTTTGCTGTGTGTCAGGTACTGTGCTAAAGTGATCAAGAATTTGGTTAAAATGAACATATTACTTAGAAATCACATTCTCAGTCTACAGGTCACAAAGAAATAGATTCTTTCTGGAGTGAAATGAGTGGGAAAAAAAGGGTTTTGAGCACAGAAAGGGAAGTACCAGGTATGATCTTTCCAATACTTCTACAGATAGAATCTTGTCCCTCTCCAAATTCCTGGTTGTTATGAGACAAGCTTGTGTTGATGGTTGGGCTGGGGCACAAAAGAGTAAAAAGGCATTGAAGGTTAATGACCTTGACAAGAAAACCAAAAGAGAAGGGCTCCCTACTGACAATGCACTAGAAACACAACACCTATTTCTTTCATTTCACCTCACTTGTAACAGAAATCTTAAAAAGTACCTCTCAGGCAGGTCTGTTACAATCAGATCAAGAGAGCAGCTTTTCAGTAAGCCACTGGTGAGGGTATGATTATATGGACTGACTCTAACAGCTCTTGAAATGAGATATAAGGAAAAGGCTAAGTGAGTGTTCCTGAGTACTATGTCCAAGAAATAGTCAAATCTTTTTGATGATCAACAGAAAGTACAGCACACAAAATACGGAAGCCTCATTGGTTATCTTTTTATTACCTTTCATTCCTGACACAACCCCCTGCTTGGGGGGGACACACAAAAAGAATGCCCAGCACTGGAGCCACATGGGAATAGGCATAGAAGAGAGAATTCCCAGGCAAATTTTCTGCTGTAATTTGCTTCAGCATTCCATGTTAATTCAATAGGAAAGGAACAACTTTCCTTGTCCTCAGAGTCCTTGGCAAGTTGTCTGTGTTCTCCTGGTTCATCCTTTAACTCTCAGAGGAAGGTCAGATCCTCTGATGATACTATGGAAATGTGAAGCAGTGCACGCCCAGGTACACGTCTACACTTGTCAGCTTCCAAGCTGAAGTCCAGCCACAATTACAGCACATGACCATGACTTGGAAGGACAGGCTTCAGGGGCCATGATGGAGGTTCTATTAAGGGAAGAAAGATACCATAATCCAGTGGGTGTAGAGAAAGGGACAGGGCACACAAACAGAAGATGATGACGGTAAGGGAAGAATTCAATAGAGCAGAAGTAAAAAAAACGGTAATGCCGACACAGTCCATTGCAGAGCCCCTGAAAATTGGGGTGGAACAGCCCAGGACCACTTGGACTGGCTGCCTTGGGGCAAACCTACCCCTACTACACACAGTGAGTGGCAAAGTTGAACTTGCTACGCTCCACACTGATCCCCTTCTTCTGACCAAACTGGCAGGAAAGGGAGTGCTTGGGACCAGACATCTGAGTTACAGACTCATGTCCATTGGACCTGGTCTATTCAGCCATCCAGAGCTTGAAGGTCCTGTCATAGGAACAGGTGGCTATGAGCTGACCATCAGAGGAAATGTCCAGGCCCATCACTTTTCCCTCATGGCCAGCCAGGGTCTTCAGTGGGGACCAACCAGGGTGCGTCCAGATCTTGGCTGTGTTGTCATAGGCACCAGTGAGCAAGAAGTTCCCATGGATAGCTATAGAGAGGAAAAGAAGAGTTGTTGCTTAAGACACTAAAGGGCAAAACAAGGTAAAAGTACCAGACTAAAGCTAGACAACCTACCCAGAATAGATTCTTCCAGATTTACAAATAATAATAATGCTCAGGGGGTCGGTCCATATGTCAGCTTCAGAAATCTCAGGACCCATGTGAAGACTAGGGTAACTCTGAGATAGAGCTACGGGAATGATACCCTATGCCTTGTTGTTAAGCTGTCTCGTTCAGAGAAGAAAAATTAGGATGTTTAATCATCCACAGGAGGAACAAGTTCAAATGAGGGCCTTCTTTCCAACCTAGGAACCAAAAGCATTCTCTGCCACAATTCTACGTAAATTGAGGGAAGGAAGGGCCATAAATTGAGAGAGGGAAGCTTGTGATTTGTTTCCTCTGCATATTTCATCCTCTTTGAGGCTAAGCTGAGTGAAGCCTGGCCAGCAGAATAACTTCCAAAGGCTAAGGAGGGAGCTGTTGATCCAAAGAGAAGGGCTTACGTTCAAACTTGACTCCAGTCACCAAGTTTTGGTGGGCAGGAATAGTGTAGACGCAACGCCGCTGCCTAAGGTCCCACACTTTGCATGTGTTGTCGCCACTACCAGTTGCAATGTGGTAACTGTGATAAAGAAAGAGAGAACGCAAGTTGGAACCCCAAACTGTGCTGTTTCTGGTCATTTGCATTTTGACCAATAATCCATGTCACCCTCAAAGCTCAGTGAGCTTGGCGTACCCATTAGGGGAGAAGTTGATCCCATAAATCTCCTTCAGGTGGCCCTCTAGGAACATGATGCATCGTCCTGTGCGCAGGTCCCATACACGACCAAATGCATCCAGTCCCCTAGTAAGAAAAACAGGCTCACAATGAACAGTTCAATTATGTCAGTTCCTGGAACAAAATTAACCTATGACTGCCTTAAGGTCCTAACGATAAAAGGAAAAACTGAAAGATGCTGGTTATTTTTTTTCACTAAGAATAGGCCCAAATAAGAACAGGCTTAAATTTTGGCCAAAGCAAAAGGGATTAAAAGTAGAAAGACGGGACAGCTAGATGGCGCAGAGGCTAGAGCACTGGCCCTGGAGTCAGGAGGACTTGAGTTCAAATCCGGTCTCAGACACATGATACTAGCTGCTGTGACCCTGGGCAAGTCATTTAATCCCAATTGCCTCACAAAAAAAAAAAAAAAAAGTAGGAAGACGTTCCTGACCATTAGATATGGGAGGCAAATGGACTAATGATTGGGGGTGGGGGGGTGGGGGGGATGGGAGGGAGAAAATTTACAACTAAAAACAAAATAAAACTGAACTAAAAAAAAAAAAAAGGAATGGACTAATGGAGTCGATTCCTCTGAGGACAATTAAGAAAATGGTAGACAACTATCTGCCTAGAACAGCTCAAATTTAGTTCTGCGTGAAACAAGGGAATATAGAAGATGGCCTCTTTAGCTACCACCAGCAGCTTAGAAGGGTCATGCTTACAGCCTAGGAATCCTACCCAGTGCCCGCCAAAGAACCATCCTGGTGGAAGGCGATGTCATACACTCCCATGCTGTGGCCCTCCTGGTGTAGAATCTCCTCCTGGGCCTCTAAGTCCCACAGGCGCCATGAACGGTCATAGCTAAAAATTAAAGGGAGAAGGTACTAGTATTTATTAAGGACCTACTTTGTAAGGCCCTATGAAAAGGTTAATACTGGAGCTGAAGTTGTACTTCTAAAATAGTTCATGTAAATGCACAGATATAAAGAAGCCTTTTTGTATCAGTAAGAGTTAGGACTTCAACAACCACAAAACAGCATCTGCCTTCCACTGCTCCAATTGTTTATCCATTATCTCTCTCATAATTCTACCACTGCTTCTCAAATTAATTGGGAAAACTTGAAAAGGTTATTAAAGATCAGGGTCCCCAACATGTTGGTCAAGGAGAACAAGGAGAGACAAAGTGACAGACGAGAAAGACCAAGATATGGTGATCTTCAAAAAAATCAGGAGTCAATTCTCACCTTAAGATTTCTCAAGAAAAGTTATCAAGCGTTAGCAAATCAAAAACCTAACTAGATTCTTGACCCTCCTAATTATTCTGCATATCTGTCCTTGTCCCACGCCACCCTAAGAAAATCCTGTTGAAGAGGATTTTTCTAAAGCAGGAGTTCTTAACCTGAGGCCTGCAGACTTGTTTTAAAATATTTTGACAACTGTATTTCAATATAATTGGCTTTCTCTGTAACCATATGTATTTTATTTTATGCATTTTAAAACACTATTTTGAGAAAGGGTTCAAAGGTTTCACCTGATTGTCAAAGAGGTCCATGGCCCCCCAAAAAGGTTAAGAACCCCTTCTCTAAAGTTTGATGGACCAGACAGGTATATGAAATGGGTAACTGCCATAGGTCTATCTGAGAATGAGACCAAAAGGCCTTACCAGGTGGTGCCCAGAAAACGTCCTGAGGGATGCCACATCACTCTTGCTACACGTACCGAATGGCCTTCAATATCTGCCACAGGCTCATCACTGAAAGGAATCCAAGCAAATCAGAGGGGTACAACATAGTTAATCATTCAATATTTACTGAGTATCTATTCTATGTCAGAAGCACTGTCTTCATAGTGACCAAGCTGAACTCTGCCCAAGACAAATATAAGCACTGGGTGGCTAATCAGAGCATCTTTAAATGTTAGGGCTAGGAGGGAACTTAGGGATTATCTAGTTCATTTCCTTCATTTTACACATGAAACTGAAGCCCAGAGAGGGGAAGTGACTTGATTTACCCAAATCACAAACTGCACAGGTGACAGAATTGGGAGTGGAATTTGTGTCCTGACTCTCAGTCTGGTGCTCATTCATTCCATTATACCAGACTACTTGTGTCTAAATTCAAGTGACTTGAGACTAAACATTCTTACGGCAGCAATGATTCCAGATACCCACAAGGCTCAGGAATGCCTTTGCAAAACTATCTGTTTCTGACTTTGAGTGTTTCCTGAAGGGGCAAAGGTATACGACAGTCAGCAAGAGCATTGATGAACACATGTATTTTCTTAACTGTCTGAAGAAAAGGGAGCTGGCATGGTGGGAAAATCTGAATGAAGAGCTCATTAGAACAGCCTGCTCAGGAAAAACATATCTCCTTAAGGAGACAGGTCTCTCAGGGGTGTGTAAAATTTGGCAGTTTCAAACTGAACATTCTGAATTTGAGGGCAGACACTGTTTCGTCTTTGTATCCTCAGCATTTTGCTCATAGGAGATGCTTAAAGAATGTATACTGAATTGCATTTAGCCCTAAAATTCAGAACATGACCATTTTAGGTACAACTTTGCCAGAGACAAAAAACACACAAAGATAATCATCATTATAAAAAGCCATTTATTTACAGCCCAACAACATTTGACATCTATCACCAAGCACATTGCTTGGCACACAGTAAGCACTTAATAAATGTTTATTGATCAACACTTAGTTGTATGAGAACTCATACTTTTTCAGTCAGGGGGAAAAAAAAAAAACAACACTTCCTAGGATGCTCCCAATACCCTGTCCTTATGTTACCCTATAACTAGGAAAGAATCAAAGATACTTCAGCCTGATATTAATTCTTTTCACTTAAGCTTCTGAATAATGGCCATACCTCAGCTCAGGTATCTTTTCTGTCACCACCAATGCTAGGACACTGGGAAAAATATATATGCTGGAGGTGAAGGGAAGATCTATGATTCAACCAAATTCACTGAAAACAAATTATGAATGGGAATCTTTTCCAAGTCCACAAAGAACAATTAACCCCAAAGCACATACAGGTTTAGGATCATTTGGTTGTTATTAAATCCAGCTACCTGGCAATGACAGAAAGAAGACTTGAAGCTGTAGTGAAAGGGAATAAAGATACACCCTAAAGAGAGCAATTAAAAAAGGAAACTTTGTCAATGTGTATGCATAAGATTAATCAAGCCTCCAGAGGAATAAATTTGCTGCAGCATTACCAAAGCCAATTAAAGCTCCCTGGGCAAGCAGGTAAGATTCAGCCTGGCAAGGAATGGAAATGCCAATTAACTCTTAAAAAAACTCATGAAAAGTGCCTGAACATGTTTCCTACAGGCAGGAAACTAAGCAATTTTATTCAGATGTCTACCAGCCAGCACCAGCACAGCTTTGGGTAACAGTATACTAGTTACAAAGACAATAAAAAGGCCATTTTGTTAGCACCAATACTTGAAAAGTACATTCTCACCAAAGGACGCTGGCTCCAAGAAGGTTCTGCTACCTTGACAATAGAGTCCAACAAAAGCCCTTTCTTATCTCCTCTGTGGCTGTCACTAAGAACTAATGCCTTGCCAGAGAAATTAGTGGGTCCACTGAACACACTGGACAGCTAACCTGATGCCCTTGGTTGGGGGATGGTTTGGAGCGCCCTCAGAAAACTACAAAAGTTCATCAGGTTGTTGGGTTTTCTTTAAGAAAAGGCGTTCTCCTCGGGGCAAACCTGCATCTCAGAGCTTAGTGAGAAAGCTGGGCATGCTCTCCTCAGTGGTGATAAAGAGTGGGTCAAAAGAAAGAAATTCTCTACTTCCCTTTCACATCCTAGTGACGGTTGTCTTCTTGGAATACCTGTGGGATTAAATACCAGATCTTCTGCTGAAAGCCCCTACCTACTTCAATCAATCATAAATACCTATGCAACAAAATGGAATTCAATTCAATAAGAATTTAGTAAGTGACTTCTATGTGCCAGGCAACATACCAGGCACTAGAGATACAATGACAAAACCAAACCGTTTCCTCCCTCAAGAGGCTAACATTCTATTGGGGGAAACATGCACACAGATAAATGTAAAATATATACAAAGTAATTTCTGAGGGGAAGGGACAGATGTAATATGAAGGACAGCTGGTGAACAAGAGTTCCTTCCAAAGGGCACAATGGAAGTGTAGTGTGGAGTGGGATGGGGATGCAGGAAGGAGCAAAGGTTACCCCAGAGAGCTGCAGGGCACCAGATTTGTCACGCGTTTCACAAGAGCAGAGATATCCCTAAGAAAGAAGTAGAAAGATGAGGTGGAGAACAGAGGGAAGTGAGGGGAAGGAAGAACAGCGCCCTAGTCTTCCATGATGAGTCAATGAAGTCCTGGGGCTAGGCTGATTACAAAAGGGGTGAGGTCCCTTTGAGGTGCTCAAAACATAGCCGGGTCAGGATTCACGCCAATGTTGAAGAGATTGCCTCCTCCAAGGCAGGGGAAGTGGGGTAACAGGCTCTGGACATGAAACAGGAGAGGTGGCAGAGCGAAAGTCCAGGCTCTGGCTCTGCCCCTGCCTGACAGTCTAGTCAAATCCACACCAGTAAAAGAAGTCTGGCTGCAACATACCCAACAAGTGGTTATCAAGGCTCTGCCTGAAGCCTTCTAATTAGAGGAAGCCCACTACCTACCAAGAAAGCGCACTGCACTTATGGATAGTTGCTACTGTTAAGCTAAGACATTTACTCTGTAGCTTGACACACTGAAAATGGAGAAGGAACCAGACAGAGATGATAACACTCACTATCCTAGAGTAAGGCCCAAGTGGGAAAAGTAGGGGACAGGTGCATATGCTGATCCCTTTCTGTGTGGGGAGCTCCCCCTCAAAATTTATTTCCTATTTCACAGGATTTAGAGCTGGGAAGGATTTGAATGACGGCAGCCAAACCTCACCTCTCTAGACTCCACAGTTTCACAGACCCATCAGCGGCACAAGAAGCTAGGTTGACATCTTTTTTGTCCAAGGAAATGGTGGATTTGGGGTGAAAAACAATGGCTCCTACATTGGTGTTGTGGCCTAAAAGATAAAAATTATAGTTGGCATCTTTTTTTCTAAGGTACTCCAATGCCACAGTGACTGAAACATACATACTAAACAGAGAGGGTTTCCATACAATGTCTGAAAGCACACAATAATAATGACACAGACAGACATACACAGAAGTGGAAAATCTGACAGCAAATATATAAGTTAACAAAAATTTAAAGTCTATAAAAGCATTAGTGTTTGTCAACAGTGGACCGTGAGAGACTTGATGAAAATGGGAGGACCAACAAGAGGAAAAAAATGACATGCAAAAAAGCACCTCCTCCTTCGATGAAGTCACAGAAAGAAATCAAACTAAAAAAGTATTTACTGTGCACCTACTCCATGCAAGGCTCTATCCTGGGCCCTCTTCCCTCCCTCCATTCTCCACTGGGGATCTCATCCACTCCCATGCGTTCAATTCCCAACTCTTCAAAGACAACTTCCAGTTTAACATATCAAGCCCCAATCTCTTTCCAACTCTACTCCTTCAGCAACTGCCTGCTGGAAATGTCGACTTGCATTTATTTTCCACAGGCTTCTCAAATTCAACATGTCCCAAAGACAATTCATTCCCTTCCCTTACCCCTCCACATCTTCCTATTTCCACTGCAAAGTCACCTCTGACTTTCCTCTCCAGCTGCTCTCTGAAGGGTATTTAAAGCCCTTCACAGCCCGGCTCTCCAGCCCACTTTTCCATTTTTCAGGCTTATCCCATCTCTTTCCATGCCCCCCATCCTGTGTTCCTAGACAAACTGACCTCCCGCCCCCAAAACTGGACAGTGTATCTTCTGCCTATGTGCCTTTGCACTGGCTGTCCCTTTGCCTGCAATGCACTTACTCCCTCACCTTTGCTTCTTAAATCTCTACATTCTTTTAAGGATCAGCTCCGAGGAAAAGCTATTTCTGATTCCCCAACTGTTGGTGCTTTCTCTCTCCTCGAGGTAGCAGTTTTTACTTAACGGTGCACAGATCCTACCCCCTAGTAAAATGTAATCTCCTGGAGAGAATGGACCATTTTGGGGGAAGGGGATGTTTTTGTCTTTATGTCCCCAGGTGCACAGTGCCTTGCACATAATAGGTTCTTAGTAAATATCTGTTTGAATTCATTTTAATCGAAAATACAGAGCTACAAAAGCAGCAAAAAGAACATCTATAAAGTAGGTAGAACACAACTGCAGATACTCGAGGCAGTTTCTCACTGATGAACATGGAAGGTAAATTTGGTCTTGGAAAGAGAATATGTTCTAAAAAAGAAACTCCAACCTACCTCTTAAGGTGTGTAGGAGACTGCAATCAGGGACAGACCAGAGTTTGCACAGCCCGCTCCTATCAAACAGAAAGGAAAGCATCTCAGCCAGGGACTGCTCTAGGAAGGAAAAGGTTTCTTAATAACATGAGAAAAGGACAGTCTCTTCCTAACCACCCTCTCACTCCCACCCCCAATCTGTGCATGGTGGGGCTGAAAGAAAGGGTCATTCTTGTGAAGGGGAGGAAAAGGAGCAAGCAGGAGTGAGTCAAGACCAACCCCTACAGCCTCACAGCCTAGATCACATGTGCTTGGGGCCTTTGTACATGCACTCTGAGCGCAGAACAAGCTGTGCTCCATCCTGTCCCTGCCAATTGTGGTCTAATCTGAGAGTTAAAGAGAAATCAACATCTGCAATACAGTATGGGTCCACAGCATCAAAACATGGGGGTAACCAAGATTAGATAAGGAAATGAATGTGAGAAGAGTATATCTAAGTCAGGAGTGGGGAACCTGTGGCCTCAAGGCTTCTAGGCCCTTGGGTTTGGCCCTCTGACTGAATCCAAACTTCACAGAACAAATCCCCTTAATAAAAAGATTAATAAACTTAATAAAAGTTCTGTAAAATTTGGACGCAAAAGGCCACACCCAAGGACCCAGAAGGCCACATGTGGCCCTGTAAGCTGCAGGTTCTCCACCTCTGTAGTATTACTCATATTGCTCCTTAATGAACTCCCCACCCCAAATAAAAACATCCCTACAAAATTAAGCTTACCAACAAGCTGTGGCCAGTAGTTTGGAGTTGGGACTGAAATGACAATAGGAAATGGGTCGATCATCTCCAATCTGGCTGCAGAAGTTATTCAAAGACTGAAAGGAAAATAAATGGCTGTCACTAATCAAACCCCAATTTAAACTGCTGACCTCATTCTCAACCCAACTTCTGACTCACTAAGCAAGGGTATATTTTTGTATAATCCTGGCTAGCAGATATCTATACTCATATCGTGCCCATGCTGAGAAGGAGATGAGACACCTCTTGGGGTTCAATGTGCTGCTTTCTACAAGCCTGTTCTCCCCAACACTAGGAAGGCTGGAAGCACTAAACACAACTCGGGGCATCCCATGGTAGTACAGCTACAGGCCTGGGAGGGTGGGATGGGGTGAGCCAAACAACAGTAATCCTCTGCTAAGCCGAGCACAGCATGTGGCCCTGAAAGCTCAGGCCCTTCCTTAGGAAATAGCAAGCTGTGCATGGGGACTACTCGCCCCTACTTTTCCTTCCTAACAAAAGCTTAGGGCAGGAGATAAGTTAGACCGGAAACACCTTCAAGACAATAGCTTGGAGAATATCTCTTACCCGGAGAGATTTGTGCAATTCCTGCTTCTGGGATGTCCTAGAGGTCTCTGGAATCTCTTTATGGAGACGGGCTTCTTCCAAGCGTTTCATTGCCCTTTAACACAAGAATATCATCACTACTGTCATAAAACAGGTTTTAAATGCCCACCTAAGAATGACACTGTAATTGGCAGCACATAAAGCAAGATTTGTTTCTGCCCTGTGGTTTCATTTGAACATTTACTTGTAAGGCTGATTCTTACACTTTGGGAGGTAACAATAAAAGACAGGTCTCCCCTTTATCCCAGGGCCTCTTCTTACCTGGGTAGTGAATAATTAGCAATCCACAGCCTAGCGGTCTTCAGGTTGTTGGATCCTTCATGGTACCAGGTTTGTTGATACTGAGGAATATGTTAAGAACAGAAGCATAAGTGTCAGTCCTATCTCACCACCACTCAAGGTCAAAAGGTTGGCAATGGCTGCATACTTCATGTATTTTTCTCAATGACAAATTAAAAACACAGATATATTCAAAAGCACGCTTTCCCTAGAGTGGGAAGACTAATCCTAATAGCACAAACCCTGAAAAAGACAAGAGAAGAGAAATCTCTTTTCTGCCTTACAGGGTAACAGGTAGCAGGTACATCTTACCTCTTCTTTGGACTTTTTGGATTTTTCATCATCTTTTTTGGTCTTTTTTAAGGCATCTGTGCCAACAACAGAGAGAATATTTCTCAATCTGTAAAAAGCAGGTAAGGATTTAAACTTAGTTGGAATGAGATTGAAAAAAACATAATGTATAAAAGAACACTGTGCATAAATAAATAAAAAATAATGTATGAAAGAAAATAAATTCGTCCAGAACTGTGATTTTATCAGTTTGGTGAACTGCAATTGTGAATAGCCTTTCACTGATACACATTAGTCTCAGTAAGTCAAAAAGGGCTTACTATGTGCCAGGCACAGTGCTAAGTGCTTTAAATTACTCTCATTTGATCCAGTAATTCTTCTATAATGCTGAATGTTAGAAAGCTTTCTAGGGTACTGAGAGATATAGTAACTTGTTTATGGTCACATAAGCAAAGCATGAACCTAGGTTTTCTTAACTTCAAGGGTGGCCCTCTACTCACTAAACCTCACTGCCCCTCATAAAAGAAAAGAGTAGTCACTAAAATCAAGTCAAAATTGCAAAATCTCTCCCCACCCAAAATCTCAATTTTTTTTTTTTAGTTAAAGGTGCTCAGTCTTATTCCTACTTCACTATTCTTTTTCTCACTAATCCCTTACTCCTTTGCAGGCTCTGAACTCTGTGGCAACCTCCCAGAATCCACAAGCTTTATGTCTCCTTAAGAGAGGGAGGCCTCTCTGAAGCCAGCCAATTTGCCTAGATCTGTTCATCACCACAAGCAACACGGCAGATTCTTCCCACTCCTTTAGCCACCAATGGTATCACTAGCTTATTCTGCTTAAGGCATTAACATGTGGATGGTAAAAGGTACCATTCTCTTCTCAAGTTATATATGAAAAGGCTTTATTATGGTTTGAATAGTTGAGGAAGAAGAAATTTATCAGATTTCAATTTTTTTCAGATAATTTTTTAAGACTCAAACACAAATATTTAACTAATCCCAAATTCTATCATTGATTTAAAATAATTTGATATTATTCAAGTAGCCTTTTCACTGCTTATAACAGAAAATTCAGCATTTTTAAAAGTCTTCTCCAAAATGGCTTAATAATTATCTTATTAGCTAAAACAAGTAAGTAAAATGTAGAAAAATAAGATGCCTAAGACCAATGATCAAAGTCTTAGCTTCACTGACTAGTCCAAATCTTGTGACTAGAATGTATTATAAAAAGGAGAAAAGTTTCAATATTTTGGGAAGTCAGTCATCTGGAAATGATCACCTCTCTCTCCTTTCAGCAGGGCCCTCTCCAAAGAGTGTGATTGGTTCACCCAGGGCTCGAAGGCAAGCCTTGACTTCTGAGTCATCCGTGGAAACATTGATCTGCCGGGCTCGCTTCCTTCGCTCAAATTCAGCCAACACTTCGGCTTGTCTTTCACTGATATGTTCTTCAATTTCAAAGACTTCCCCTATACACAGAAAAGGCAACAGAGTATAGTGATCAAGAGTTCATACTCCAAATATGAGGAAAGAAAAAAATTGTAATTTACTATTCATGCCCAATACCTAGCTCAAAATTCTACAGCTTTAAAAGGAGGGTAACAGCTCTACCCATCTCTGATGCCACTTGACACAAATCCCAACTAAACAAAAGAGTAAGATACAAAGGCTTTGATGAAACCTGGAGAGGACAGACTTCAGGAGCCCAGAATCTTTGATACATTTAGCAAATTAATTATTTAGGTATTTTGTTTAAAAAAAAAAGAGAGGGAGGCACAAGTTGTATCCTTGTATTCATCAAAGCAATGCTGATATGGGGGCACTAATACATGACTGCTAAACTCCCATGAGTATGAAATTCACAATTCTACAGGGATTTTGACAGGTACAATCTCTCTTAGGGTTCCAGACTGAATGTTCATTTATATCATAAATAACAGATTAAGCTTGCTATCACTTCAATATCTCCTTGGATTCATTTAAATAAGGTAGGACAGGATATTATGAAACAGCAGTCTGGGGAAACCTGTGGACCCCTTATCAGAATGTTTTTAAATACACAAAATGAAATATACAACATCACAAAGGAAATCAATTATAATAAACTACAGTGACCTAAATATAGGTTGGGGCAGCTAGGTAGCTAAGCAGATAGAATATTGGGCCCAGAGTCAGGAAGACCTCAGTTCAAACCCAGCCTCAGACACTCGTTAGTTGTGTAACTCTGGGCAAGTCACTTAACTCTGTCTGCCTCAGTTACCTCCACGGTAAAATGAGTTGGGGAAGGAAATAGTAAAGCACTCTAGTATCTTTGCCCAAGAAAATCCCAAATGAGTCACACAGAATCGGACACAACAGAAATGACTGAAAAACAAAATAAAGGATTGTCCGAAAACTCTTAGTGCATTTCAAAAGCTTTAATTTTTAATAGCTTAAAATTACACTAAGAGTTTTGGGATACCCTGGATTTAAAAAAGCAAAAAAACAAGTCCACAGACAGGATCAGGTAGAAAACTGTTTCTAAAACTAGAGCCAATACTAAAGAGTCTTGGCTAAGTTGTGGTACCTCACTTATTTAGATGCAGTATAGGGAAAGGATAAAATAAAAACAATGGAGAAGAAAAACAAAAAAGGAATAAACATAACCATGCTGGTCCAAAACAATAATGTCAAAACCATGTTAAACCTATTCTTTGAAGAAGCAAAGCATGATTCTATGAACTTACTCTGAGTGACACTCTAGTAAAAATACTCACAATCCATAAGAATAGTCCTACAAAAAAAATTGAGGGAGAAAAGGACATCTGGGAAGATGAGAAGAATGACTCTACTTTTAAGTGTCTACTACATTAGGCACTATGGTAAATACAAAGACAAGACATTCTATTCAACAATTTTATTTTTATTTAACTACTTTGTATATATTTGTATTTATTCACTTTAAATTTATGAGATATGTAAGTATGTATATATGTTTATGTGTATATAGACAAACATACATACAAATGTCTCTCTGAGCGAAGGGAATGTTTCATTCTTTTCACCCACATGTTTAGCACGTAACAGTGTCAGGTACATTGTAAGTGCTTAATACATACTGGTTGATTTAGTACCTTCAAGGAATTTAAAATCTAGTAAAATTTACAATCATGTAACAGACTAATGTAATGCAAATTAGAATATTAATCCCTAAGAATAAGTCCCATGGGATTAGATGAGCTCTAGAAATATGAGTAGGAGGCAGGCAAAGTTAAACTTAGCCTTAGAGAAGCACTTTATAAACCACACTTCCATAAAGAGAAATTCAAGGAGAAACTATAATTGATAACGCAAAACTTATTTTTATCAAGGCCCAAAGTAAAGGGAGAAGATATCCAAGCCTAGAAAACCCTTACTTAAGACCAGGCAGAATAGGCAGAACAAAAGACTGGTTCAAAACTAGTCTTACCAGAAGTTATGTTAATATTTCCAGCCTCAATTCCAGCTTTAATTCCTTCTTTTCCCAGCATCCCTGACTCCCCTCTTGCAAGACGCTCCTTCTCCTTCTCTTCCAAACTGCCATAATAGATATGAGGCTTCTTTACTACAGGGGAGGCAGTATCTTCAGGAGTCCTAGTAGGGGTTTTGGTTGCCTATAAAATCAAAGAGCAGAGTTAACCTAAAGCAGAGTTGAAGCAACCTTCTGAGATGCCTGAAGTGTTAATTCTGGAACAAATCGTATTCTTTGCTCTATAGAAATAAACAAGGTACCAGCTGGAGCTCTCTTTCCCCATTCAGATAAAGTTGTAGTTGTGTTTTATTGCATCCATCATATAAGAGCAAGTTCAGGACAAGAAATGTGTTGGATGAAACTAATGAACTCCATTTTTCTCTTAGTGATTTTCCAACCAATAGGATATTTTAAAACTGCTTATTTTATTAAGTTGTAAGACCTCTGGGGGCAGGTGCAATCTCTCCTGGAGTTCTGACTGAGTGTTCATTTATGTTATCAATAACATATTAAGCTTGCTAACAATTCAATGTCTCCTTAGACTCATTTAGATAATAAAAGACTGGAATAAATTTCAGCAGTGAATTCAAAGGGAAACATTGAGAGAATTTACCTCTGGTTAAACCAAAGGAAATTCTAACTCAGAGGCTGTTTTCTCACCTTTCAAAAACACTACTTCAGTCTACATAGAACTTTATAGGTTTTAATGCATTTACACATGCATAATCTCATTTTATCTTCCCAAAAATCCTGTGAAGGCACAAGGTCATGGATTATCACTTTTTTTTTTAATACAACCTTAGAGTTGAAGAGTCTAGATCATTTAGTCCACTCCTCTTACAGACACAGGAAACCCCCTCTATAACATCCCTGACAAGCAATCATTCAAATTCTGCTCAGACACTTCAAAGTGATGGTGAACTCACCATCTCTCATCGAAGTCTTTTCCACAACTTTGTTAAGAAGTCCTTTCCAAATTCTGAACTAACATCTGCCTTCTTAAAACTTTCCTTTGAGAGATGATGAACTGGGGTTAAGTGATCTACCCGGGATCTGGACAAAGCTAGGACTAAAACCCAAGTGATATAACACAAATGTCAGAGCTGAAAAGAAGTTAGCATCTAGTCTAGTTTACCTCTTTACTGGAGGAAACTCGGGCCAGGAATTAACAGGCAGCTTAACCAAGTTGGTGTAGAGCGGGGAAGAGAAGTCAGATCTCCCACCTCCCAGCCCAGGGCAACTTTTTATTACCACACTCTTTTAGATCTCCGACCCCCCGCCGACTTCAAGCCCCAGGGGAGGCCCCGGTTCCCCTGGGGTGAGTGCGGAGGCCAGGTCCCTCTGGAAACCAGCCATCCCCCTGCCTCTGCATCAACCCACCCACACCATCTCCCTGAGCGCGGGTTCTGTGGAAGTGGCAGAAGCCAATTCCGGCTCCCCTACATGTGGCCAGAGAACTCCCAAGGATCCCCAAACACCAAGGCCGGCGCCGCACCGTGGCCGAAGCTCGAGAAGAAGCCATGTTTGGCTAGGGTATTCCAATCACCGACCACCACGGCCGCCGACTCCGCCGCTGGAGCGTTCACTCCACGCTCAGGAGACCGGAAACCTGGAAACGTACCGGAAATAGCATATAACCGGAACTAAACGGAGTCCGGGCCGGGTATTGTAGTCATCATCTAGGGCCTTCTGTTCCGGCTTGCGGGATGAGGCGCGGAGCATTGTGGGAGAGGTAGTCGGTAGCGACGGATAAGGAAGTGGCTGTGAGGCATGCCGGGAGGTGTAGTCCTTGCGGTCGAGCCTACTGTAGGTTAGTAGGCGGCGGGAAAGGCAGAGTGGAGCGGGTTGGTGGCGTTAGGGATCCGAGAAGTCGGTTTCACCCCCGGGACCTGGCTGAACCAATCTGAGCTGAGTTGAGCCGCGCCGCGTCGGGGGGGAGGTGAGTGTTGGGACGTGAGGGTTGCTACAAGCCGAAGACTTAATGCCTGGGGCGAGGCGGGCGGAAAGGGAAGGAGGAGACGTGAGCCGGGAGGAAGGAGGGGCAGGCGGGCGGACTTCGGCTCCCGGCTGCTTCGGTCGGCTGGCCTGCTTCTCCGTTGCCATGGACACGCAGGCCCCAGCCTCAACCACAATCTCCCTCTCCCTTCCCCCATCTGATTCCACTGACCTTAGAGGAGGAATGAGTCAACTCTTTCCTTTTACAGATGAGGAAACTAAGGGCCAGGGAGTGGACCCAGATTCGAGGCTGGGTGGCATCCCCCTTTTCCCCTACAGTCCCCATCCTCCCCCCGCCCCACATTCTCTATCCCCTCCCCCTTCCCCCACTCCACGTTAAGGAGGTGGAGAAAATAAATAGGTATAGATTATAGGGAATAGGAAGCACTCAAAAATTGCCTACCCCGTTTGAGACTACTATATTTATATTCAGTTGATGCGCTGAGCCACCCTTTTGTCGTTAATTTTGATCCCAGGATTGAAGTGGTTAAGGAGAGTGTGGTCCGTATGCCCAGAATCCTAAAACAGTAGGAAATCATATGCTGGCATGCATACTTATTGAGGAACTTCAGTCCATCCTGGGTTAAAAACTGTTCTTTAGTACAAAAGAGAAGGCGGTAGATAATGTCCCCAAAGGCTGTTAAATTAATCCTGATAGTTTGGGAGGTTAACATTGCTAATAGGAATCTGTTACAAGGGAGGGGAGAAGGATGTTCAGAAAGGACAACATAAAAAATCAGTATATATGAAAAGCCAAAAAAAGTATATTAAAATTCAGATCATGAAGCTAAAAAAAAAGGCCCAAGGATTATTGATTTGTGATAGTGTAATCCTCTACAGACATTTTAGTACAAATCTGCACAATTGTTTATTTTTGGGTTTTGTTACTTGAAAAACAATTTGCATCAAGTTGTTGTATAGTTATGAATCAAAGAGAGTTTTCATTAGAATTAGGAAGTCAGCAACCTATGTGATCCGTTTTGAAGTGAAATCTTAACTATGCTTTTGCCAGTGATCACAAATCCATAAAAACACATATAAAGGATATTAAAACTGATTGTTGATAGCCATTCTGTAAGTGGTGATTCATTTTGAATTAAGGAAAGTTATTTTAAGCTGTCTATGTAATCTTGTACATTTCTCGTATGTAACTGAAGTACTGAATTAAAGTGGACTTTGCATCTCTTGATTTCAGTATGTTTCCCAAGCAGCTGTTTTTGAATGGCTGTTCATGGAGGGAGAGACCTTTCAAGTCACAGTCAATGAGACCTATGATAGGATGCTTCCTGAATGCTGGGGAGGTTGTGCGTATACTTATGGTGTCATTGTTTTGCTTTCATATATTTGTTTGCAGTGACATTGATCACCACCAGAGTATTTTTGTTGTAGAGCCTCTTCCTTCTCCCTAAATTTTGACAGTTCAGTGGATTGTTACCAGGATGCTCCGAAGAAAACCCACTCGCCTGGAGTTGAAGCTCGATGACATTGAGGAGTTTGAGAGTATCCGGAAGGATCTGGAGGTAAGGGGGTGCATGTCTGCTATTTTAGGGTGTGCTGGCTTAGTCTAAAGTATTCTGTCTAGGAGACTATTTCACTTGGGGAAAGAGTGCTGAAGTGAGTTTCTGGTGTAGATGTCTGCATCATTGCTTAGAAGCACCTTGATTTGAAGACCACTTCATATCAAAATAAACACTTTCATGTGGAACTATCTATGTTTAAATTTGAATCAGTAATCAAACTCAATCTTTTTATATTATGTAGCAAGCTGGGCAAACCACACGTTGTGAACCTGTAACTACTTCATGCAGTAGTGACTATGAATGGTTTTTATAATATATTTTAAAAATTTAATGGGCTGCTAGGTGGTACAGTGGATAGAGTACAGGGTCTAGAGTCAGGAAGACCTGAGTTCAAATGCAGCTTCAGACACTTACTATGTGACCCTGGACAAGTCACTTAACCCTGTTTGCCTCAGTTTCCTCATCTGTAAAATGAGCTAGAAAAGAAAATGGCAAACTACTCCAGTACCTTTGCCAAGAAAACCCCAAATGGGATCACAAAGAGTTGGACACAACTGAAAAGGAAAACAAAACTGAACAATGAGACTGAGCAACAAAAAAAGTTTGAATTGAATTATATCTATAATTAAAATTATATTTAATCATATTAAAATTATATGAATTATATCTATTATTAAAATGTTTTATAAGCCAGCTTTCTTCCTAAAGATAAGCTTGCTTTCAATATCATAATTTTTAACTTTTAAGAAAGCTCACAAGGAGTGTAACCTGGGCCTCTGGTGTGTCATCATCCTCGATACCTCAATTACATTAAGGGCTTTCAGCATGAGCCTTGTTGAGCATGCATCCTGATCTGCCTGCTGCTGGCTGTGGGTGGTGGGTATAAAGAAAGGTTACAGATTCCATGGTTTCAGAGGAATGCCACAGAACTTACATGGGGAGCCGTAGGAGGACCAGAGACCACAGTTTGGGAGTTCAAAGAGAGCCACAAATGTCAAATTGAAGAACCAGGAGTGGATCACAGAATTTGGGCAGAGAGCTTTGAGGAGAGCTTCTGAACTTGCAGGGCTCCTGAGTCCAAAGGCACTTTACCCAGAGGAGAATGAGGGATTTAGGGCAAGGAGAACAGAGATTCTGAAGGTTTGGTGCCTGAACAGACCTGGAAGCCAGGTTCCTGGCAAGGGACCAGGATTCTGAGCTTCTTTACCCTCTGTTGGTTTCTTCATTGGGAGCTTCATATACCAATGAAATCACTAGTTGAATCCAACCCTCCCACCTATCCATCTCCAGTCAACCTCCAAGTTACTTATTGAGGATAAGCCTCAGGGGCAGTTGGAAGCTTTGATTGTAATGAGTCTTATAAAATGCCAGCTTATTGAACTTTGACTCTGCCAAATCAGCTAACCAGTGTTGAGTCACTAATGTCACCAATAGAGTCAACACAAAGATTTGACCCAGCCAGCAGGACAGGTAGACATTACTAGAAAATTCAGCTAGCTTAGAACATAGGGTTTAATACTGAAGTCAAGCCGGGTGCACTTTCACATTTCTAGATTTAGAACACATCAGGAGTACAGTACCAGGCTTTTCAGATGACCATTCCCTAGGGCTGGTGTTGTGTCCATAGTCAGACTTCAGTCACTAAATGAGGTATTTGTACAGCAAAAGTTCAAATTGGGGAAGTATGTAAAGGGGTGGTGGTGATGGAGAAATACTGCCCAGAAAGATTCATGTGGTAACAGTGAATAACTATTTCATTTAGCAATTTTCTTTTCTTTCTTTTTTTTATATACATCTTTCACATTTGTTTTTTATTAAAAGGTCTTTCCCAAAGTGGCACAACACAGAAAAATAGACTTATGGTTTAGGATTCTCATATTTTCAAGTCCTCTGATGTATACCCTTGGTTCATTTTTAAAATAATAATAAATAATCCTTTGTGCTGAATCTGAAAATCAGTGCATTAGGAGAAGGCTATAACTTCTCATGTAAAGACAAAAATACTGAGTATATTTTTTAAAAATTTCTGAAAGGCATCTAATACACTTTTTTTTTTTGTGGGTCAATTGGAGTTAAATGACTTGGCCAGTGTCACATCCTAGTGAGTGTTATGTATCTGAGGCCGCATTTGAACTGAGGTCCTCCTGACTCCAGGGCCAGTGCTTTATCCACTGTGCCACATAGCTGCTCCAACACTTCTAATACTAGTTATATTTCAATATTCTGGGCTATGTACTTAAAGGTAGACTATAATAATTTAAAATATCCATTTTCTTTCATGGCTTGAAACAGTGTACATAGTAATTTTGTGTGTGTATGTGAGACAGTCTGAGTTTCTCCTGCAAAAGAATACATTTACATTCTAACATTTGTAGATCACATGTCAAGAAACCAATACCAATTAAGACAATCTCTGGTCTGTATTATTCAGTGGTTTCAGAAACTTGCCTTTAGTTCTTTCTCCCCAGCCCTCTCCCCCTAAAAAATGTTTTGTTGTTGACTCTTGGTGACCCCACTTGGGATTTTCTTTTTCTTGGGAAAGATACTGAAGTAGTTTGCTTTTTCCTTCTCTAGTTCATTTTTACAGATGAGGAACTGAGGCAAACAGGGTTAAGTGACTTGCCTAGGGTCACACAGATAGTAAGTGTCTGGGGCCAGATTTGAACTCATGAAGTTGAGTCTTTCTGACTTCAGGCCCAGTACTCTGTCCACTGTGCCACCTAGCTGCCCCCAAAACCTATTTGGACAGAAATTTAATTGTGCTATTTATTGGTGGGATAAATTGGATATCTAGTAAACCAGGAGGGAGTTGGGGTTTTTTTTAACTTATGTCTCATAGAAAGTATTTGGTCAAATATAACATTTTGGATTTACTATTTTTAAATGATCAGAGAAAACAATAGCAGAATAATGAAATACAGAGGCAGATAGGTACCAAAGTGGATAGAGAACTGAATCTAGAATCAGGAAGACCTGAGTTCAAATATGATTTCAGAGACTTTCTATGTGACCCTGTACCAGTCATTTAGTCTTTGTCTGTCTCAGTTTTCTCATCTGTAAAATGGGGATAATAATTGTACTTATCTACCAGGGTTGTGAGGATAAAATGAAATCTTATTTGTGAAATGCTTTACACACCTTAAAGTACTATATAAACACTGGCAATTTCTATTACTATTATAGTGATGTAAGTAACTAATGAAAAGTTTTAGATGTAGCATTTTTTTATCACCACTTTTTAGGAAGCCATTATCATTCACAGTTTCATTAATTTTCACAATCAAGTTAGACTCATTCACTAGTCTGCTCATTTTGAAAAGGTAGTAAGTGAAGCGAAGTTTGTGACTTCAATGTAGTCATTTTGTAAGTGGGTGGCAAAGTTTTTAAAGACATTTAAAGACTTTTTTTAAAGACAGTGTCAAAACATTGAAAGAATTAAGGCTTTTGTTAATACAATAAGAAATTAATATTGTTTCTATGTGAATCTTACTGCAGGTATAGTCAGTTGCAATGGTCATTGTTTTAGCATCCCTTTTCTTTATCATAAATATTCTGAACAGTACACTAATATGTGCGTGCATTATTTCTAAACTTTCTCCATTTTCAGACCCGTAAAAAACAAAGGGAAGAGGTAGATGTGGTGGGAGCCAGTGATGGGGAAGGAGCTATTGGCCTGAGCAGTGACCACAAGACCCGAGAACAAATGATCAATGACCGAATTGGTTATAAACCTCAGCCCAAGCCCAATAATCGTTCATCTCAGTTTGGAAGCTTTGAGTTTTAGAGTTCATTGGTAAATTATCCTGTGTACCTGTCTTTGTGTGCCTGCAATGAGGTGAAGGCAAAAGTTAAAATACTGTTTAGTGCTTGAAGACTACACGAATATTTTGCCTTCATGAAATCCTCATGAAACTGGGCTTCTTTATTCAGAAGAAATTTGAACTCTAGGTGTCTCAAACATTTTCATCTTCCTCTCCAGAGAACTTGTATTTTGTTTTTAAAAATAAAAACAACTTTAGAAAATGTGAAGAATCTTTAATTGAGCCAGTAACCAATGAGTGGAACTTATGTTTTAGCCCCCAAAATCCAAGTGAATGTTGCTTCGGAGGATAAATAACTTTCTTCATTAGGAGTTATAATAGCTGAAGTCTGCTCTGTCACTTGGTAACGCACTTGATCAAGTTGTAGTAGTATCTGGCTACCCTTGCTGGCTAGGTTACTTTTCATGTTGTTTTGGATATAAAGTTGGATGAATAGGTTGGTGTCATCCTTTTCCTGCCCAAGAAGTTTTCTTTGCCCTTTTCTACTTTCTCCAGAAGTTATGGACAAGTCCAGCAGATTTCCCTTCTGCTCAGGATTTCCCCAAAACTAACTTTCCCTACCCCCTTGGGAGGGTAAGTTTGGACCAGGATTCTTACATTCCCCCACTTTGAAACTGGTTTATACCTTTAGTTTTTCTTTTTTAACAATTACAAACCTAACATATCAAATAAAATAATTGTTTCCATATATGCTATAGATTTGGAAAGGAATGTATATATAAAAATGCAAATTTCTATTAGAGTTTTTTTAAAAATATATGATAAGTAAAGTTTCAAAGTCATCTTGATCATCTCCTATCTTGATTCTTTCTGTTCTCATTTTTTTTGTTTGTTTGGGAACTATATCCCTAACCCCTTTTTCCTCTTGCTTTCCTCCTCCAACCTTTAACTGGAAAAAATAAAACAAAACAAAACCAACCCTTGTAAGAAATATGCAGTCTTAATATTGATAAACTTAACCCTTCCCAGCAATATAAGGATCTAAGACATCTCCAAAGGCCTCGTGATGGAAAATGCTATCCACATTCAAAGAAAGAACTATGGAAGTTGAATTGCTATTTTTTTTTCTCTTCTGTTGAGTTTTGTTTCCTCTTTCTGATGGTTCCTCCTTTCAGCTTTAATTTTTACTTACAACATCACTAATGTGAAAATATGTTTAATAGGAATGTAAATGTATAACCTATATCAGTTTGTGTGTCTTGGGGAGGGTGGTGGGGAGGAAGAGGGAGAAAAATTTTAAGCTCAAAAGCATATGGAAGTGATTATTGATAAATCAAAATAAATTAATAAAAAATTTAAAAAAATAAACTACCAAAAAAAGAAATATGCAGTCTTAAAGCCATCTATAGTCATATGAAAAAATGCTCTAAATCACTATTGATTAGAGAAATGCAAATCAAAACAACTCTGAGATACCACATCACACCTAACAGATTGGCCAACATGACAAAACAGGAAAATGATAAATGTTGGAGAAGATGTGGAAAAATTGGAACACTCATGCATTGTTGGTGGAGTTGTGAAACGATCCAACCATTTTGGAGAGCAATTTGGAACTATACCCAAAGGGCTATAAAAATGTGCATACCCTTTGACTCAGCAGTAGCACTTCTAGGCCTATGTTCCAGAGAGATCATAGAAATGGGAAAAGGACCCACATGTACAAAAATATTTATAGCAGCTCTTTTTGTGGTGGCAAAGAATTGGAAATTGAGAGGATGCCCATCAATTGGGGAATGGCTGAACAACTTGTGGTATATGAATGTAATGGAATGCTATTGTGCTATAAGAAATGATGAATAGGCTGACTTCAGAAAAACCTGGAAAGACTTGTATGGTCTGATGCTGAGTGAAGTGAGCAGAACCAAGAGAACATATACAATAACAGCCACGTTGTGTGATGACTAATATTGATAAACTTAACCCTTCTCAGTAATACAAGGATCTAAGACAGCTCCAAAGGCCTTATGATGGAAAATGCTATCCACATCCAAAGAAAGAACTATGTAGTTTGAATGCAGATTGAAGCATACTATTTGCTATTTTTTTTCTTCTGTTGTGTTTTGTTTCCTCTTTCTGGTGGTTCCTCCTATTGGTTCTAATTCTTACTTACAACACCACTAATGTGAAAATAGGTTTAATAGGAATGTATATAGCCTATATCAGATTGCACGCTGTCTAGGGGAAGGAGATGGGGAGGGAGGGGGAGAAAAATTTAAAACTTATCAGAGGAAAGGTGACAGACAGATGAAGTTCTCTAGTTTTCATGGGGGATAGGCAATGGGGCAGTAAGATTTTGGCCTTTAATAACCTACAGAGAACTTGATTCTGTGATCTAGGGCAAATTAAATACTGTTTGGGAATAATTACTCATTTAGTAGTATCTGATTCTTTGTGATCCCATTTTGGGTTTTCTTGGCAAAGATATTGGAGTGCTTTGCAATTTCCTTCTCCAGCTTATTTTACAAATGAGGAACCTAGGCAAACAGAATTAAGTGACTTGCCCAAGGTCACATAGCTAGTAAATTTCTGAGGCAGGATTTGAACTCATGAAGATGAGTCTTCCTGATTGGAAATGTTCCATCCACTGTGCCACCTAGCTGCCCCTATTAAGAGAGTCATACATCATCAATTCTAAAAATATTTGACTGCCTAAACTTCAGTGGCACCCTATTACCTACAGGATCAAAAATAAGATTCTTTGTTTGGCTTTGAAAAACTTACACTTTTACCTAAATTAATCTATGTGTTCAATGCCATATCAGTTAAATTACCAAAAAAATTGTTTTACTGAGTTAGAAAAAATAATAACAATTCTTTTGGAAGACTTAAAGGTCAAGAATATCAGAGGAATTATTTAAAAAAAGAACGGAAGAAGTTTTAGCAGTACCAGATCTCAAACTATATTACAAGGCAGTAATTATCAAAACTATCTGGTACTGGCTAAGAAACAGAAAGGTAGATCAGTGGAACAGAGTAGACATACAATTTAGAGCAGCAAATGACTATGATAACCTTGTGTTTGACAAGTATAAAAACTTAAGTTTTTAGGATAAGAAATCATTATTTAGGGGCAGCAAGGTGGCACAGTAGATAGAGCCCCAGCCTTGGAGTTGGAAGGACCTGAGTTCAAATACAGCCCCAAACACTTACTTGTTATGTAATCCTGGACAACATTTAACCCCAATTGCCTCAAAAAAAAAAAAAATTCACTATTTGGTAAAAATTCTTGGGAAAGCTGGAAAGCAGTTTGGCAGAAATGGGGCATAGAACAATATCGCATACAGTTTACCAAGATAGAGTCAAAATAGATACATGATCTGAAATGACTCAACAACAATCAAATTGCCATCCTGTCTATGCCAGACTAATTAGAAACAACTACTTTCTTGACTGTTAGGTCTCTTCCTCAAAGTGCTTACTGAAATTACAATTAAATATTTCAACTCTTCACCTTACACTCTGATCCTCATATAAATTAATCAGTGCACAAAAACAATCATTTCCCAATTCCAGAATGAGTAATTACTCCCAAACAGTATTTAATCTGCCCTAGATCACAGAGTCAAGTTCTCTGTAGGTTATTAAAGGCCAAAATCTTACTGCCCCATTGCCTATCCCGCATGAAAACTAGAGAACTTCATCTTTCTGTCAGCTTTCCTCTGATAATGAAGTTGATGAACCCTAATTTAATTATCACCAATCTCCCACTCTGCCACTAATTAAAAAGCTGCCCAAAGTGATTTTCACTGCAGAATTAATTATACATACTGAGAGATCTATTTTAAAACACAGCAATGCCAGGGCAATTAACAATTCCACCTAAAACCTAGACCAGCACAGTCCATCATTCGTTAGCAGTATTTAGGTATCAGATCAGTAGAGGTGATTTGTGAAAGTCAGTCACACTCTTCTTTCCTCATCTTTACCCAGAGTGAACCAGTTCAACTCTATATTGTCTTCTTCTTTTGAGTCTCTCTCCCCTTATCATATCCCTGATTATACCCTGCTAAACCTCAGCCTTGGATAACACCCATCATCCACTGCCTTTGCTATTACACACTTGCTGCTGAAAAAAGGTGAAGAAAATCATTCCACCTTCCTGACTGGGGCCCTGCTATTTATGTTACATAACTTGAACTGGGCCCTCACTGCTGCTAGGCAAACTTTTACACCTCTCTAATTAATTCACTATCCCACTTTCCTCAATGGCTCTTCCAAACTTTTTCATCCCTCTCCAAATCTCCCATGGTTCCTCATCCCCCTATTCTCTCAGCTGAGAACCTTGCCTTGTGTTTTACAGGAAAAATTGAGGCTATTTACTGAAAACTCCTTCTCTTCTCTTCCTTATCTCACATCATCCAGATGCCTTCTGCCACTGTCTCATTCCTCATGCCTATTTCACATGATGAGGTAGCCCTTCTCTTTACCAAGGCAAACCTCTCTACATGAATAAATGATCCCATTCCATGTTGTTTGGTCCTGCAGAATACCCCTCTATCATCTCAATTCTCCCACTTACCTTCAATCTCTCCCTATTGGCTACCTTCCTACCACCTACAAACATCTCCATGTTTTCCCCACTCTAAAAACAAACAAACAAACAAACAAAAAAGCCCTTCCTTGATCCATCTATCCCTGCTAACTATTGTCCTATATCTCTCCTACTTTTGATGGCCTTAAGAAGGCCAGTCACAACAGCAGCATCTACTTCCTCTCTTCTCATTCTCTTCTTAACTGTCTACAGTCTGGCTTCTCATTCAACCAAAACTTTTTCCAAAGTTACCAATCATCTCTCTTAAAAAAAAAACCAAAACCGTTTTACATTTTTATTTTCAGTTCCAAATTCTCTCCTTCCTACCATTCCCTCCCTCCCTCCTCTGCAAGGCAAGAAATATACTCATTATATATGTGAAATCAAACAAAACATATTTCCACATTAGCCATGTTGGGGGAGGGGGACAGAAACAAGAAAAATAAAGAGAAAAAATATGCTTCAATTTGCAGAGTCCATAAGTTATCTATCTGGAAGTGGATAGCATTTTTCATCACAAGTCCTTTAGAACTGTCATGGATCATTGTATTTATTAATCAGAGTAGTTAAGTCTTTCACGGTTGATTCTTGTTACAATATTGCTGTTACTGTGTACAATGTTCTCTTGGTTCTACTCCATTTTGCATTAGTTCATTAGAAGTCTTTCC